ACGAAATAAAAACTCAGTAAAATTATACACACATTAAAATTTTTGTAGCTGATTCTTTCAACGTCCATAGTTTTCGCTAACTAGAAGATTGTTTTTGATAGTTATTGCGACATTTATCAAAAATAAGAAAATACTTAAAAAATTTGCAAAATGCAAAATGAACTGAAAAGTTGAAAGTTATTTTTAAATCTATGTATCCGTATATATTATCAAATGTTACAAATACTTCAAAAGTTTCAAAGGCTATTTATAAAAATAGAGTGGTTTACCATAGACAATCACAAACTTATCAGTTTCATACTCCACCCCTATCTTGTTCTTACGTTAGTTGGATATTCCGCCTAAAACAAAGATGTAATAAAGTTTAGTGAACCGCAAATGCACAGAAGGCAACGAAGCGGCAAATTTTCTAAGAAGACCAGTGCCACGCTTATGTTAACCAAGTTTATTCGCGGTGACACGGTTCGGAGTACCGAAGGAGTAAAGAAGGAAATATTCATTTTTATCAACTTGTACAATATTTTCGATCAATGATTTCTTACAAGAAATCTAAAAGTAGGCAGAATGTAATTGTAATTTGAATTAATAAGTAAGCTTTTTATTAAACCCTGGTTTAAAAATCGAATTCTACTAGTGTTTTTTAAAATTATTGAATTAACATAATTTAATAGAGTTTATCGTAATCTTTATTTAGTTTTAACTTTCTATGACATAAACACCGAAACCACTACCAACAAAAGACGTCATCTCTAAGAATAATCGATAAATAAACTTTCATTTAAGATGAAAATAAATTCATTGTACCTTATAATATACAAAACTGCTTTTACTTATCCGGTTTTATTTGAAGTGCTTTACACAAACAGGAGGGCTACGAACAGTTTTGTTATGCATGCTTTCCACGCTGAATATTTAAATTTCGTCGGTAGTTGCCACCGCTTAATATTCGTAGTGAGTGTAAAGTAAAGGTCAAGATTTTGACCTTGTATCCACAGTTTATGTATTAGTGTGTAGTTTACAGTGTATGTATTAGTGCTGATATATGTGCATTTATTTTGTATCAAATTTTTAGCATAAACCGCAAAAATACTGCATCTAAATGTGTGACCTTATTTGAGAAGACTCTTTGATTTATGCCACAACTCTACTCTCATGAAGATCACAGTCCCGTTTCTCAGAAACCACTTTAGTAGAAATCACCTTGAACTGTGGGCAGAAGCATAGCCTCCAGCTGCGATTAAAGTGAAGGAAATGCAGCATCAGTTCTCTGGACAGTCGTTCGATGTGAAAATGTAGTGGCCCCTGGCATATTATCTTTTCTAAAAGAAAAGTAACTGCGTAAATAGGTCAATTTACCTTTTCAGATACTTCTGCAATAATTAGTTCCTATTCAAAGGCTGAATCATAATAATACTTATTGTTATTTTCGATATTAGTACATCCTTAATTCATTCATATTAAAACCACTGATATCGAAATAAGTGAGATTTGATTAAAAACAAAACGCTCTAACGTATACTGTCTGTCTGTCTCTAGAATAAAAATAATCCCTACTTCTATACTTATATTATTAATCCGAAAGTAAGTTTGTTTGCTTGTGCGTAACAACGTAAAGTCACAACGTTTTCACGCCTAAACCACTGAATCGATTATAAAAATTCTTTCACCGATAGAAAGCTACATTATCAGCGAGTAGCATGGGCTATTTTTTAGCGCGATAAACGACAAACATTGGGCGGAGCCGCGGGCAAAAGCTACTTTTTAACATAAGTATGGAGTATGGAAACATAGAAAATTTTCGTAAATTCTTGATTAGTACAATAAACATAGGTATCCGGTTTTCATTATCTTTTACGAAAAACGTATGTAAAAAAAGCAACGCGGTTAACAATTTCTACTATTAGTAGTATATAAGATTTATGACGTAAAGAGTCCTTTGACAATTTTGGAAACTCGGTTCTTTTTTTGTATCTTATCGCAACTCATAAGATGGAGGAGGTTAATGTTAACGTATAATCATAGATATTCCTATCATCAATACTATTCCTCATCTTGACAGCAGTAGCGGTTTCTCCATGCAGCTGAATCCCTAAATCATCAGCAAAAACTTATTCTGGTGTCTATTCATCAATCTTGAAAAAATCAAAAATCTGAATCTGAATGATTTATATATTATTTAGCCTTATTTCGCTATTTTAGTTGTTGCATAGTTTGTTAGATTGATATTACAGCATAAATATGCTATAAACTTAAAATAAAGTTACATTTACTGTTGAAATTTATGACAGCTTTAATTTAATTGAATAACTGTCCATTCACTATTATTATAAAGTATTTATGATCTCAGCCGAAAAACGTCCACTGCTGGGCATAGGCCTCCCACAATACTTTCCACGACAACTGGTCCTGTGCTGCCCGCATCCAATGGCTTCCCGCGACCTTAACCAGGTGTAAAAATCTAGTGTCGGACCACCTTGTAGGGAGCCTACCTACGCTCCATCTTCCGACACGTGGTCCCTACTCCAGAACCTTTTGGTCCCTGATAAAGTTTTGCCTGATGAAGCATTACTATTGAAATATACAAATCTTTTAAATATTTTCAAAATAAATTTAGATTGTTTAATGATTTTCCTTAATAAACGATTAGTAAACAATGTCGCTCGTAAAACTTATATAACGTTCAGCATACCATAGCAGCAGCAATAACTGCTGAGGTAGCTGCTCTTTCATGGCAGGATCTATAAAATCCGCTATCCGCATGTCCCGGCAATATGGCCTGAATAATGAATGCCCCACCGCCATATTGCCCCGTTTTCGTTTTTAATTTTCCATTACTTACATGAATAAATTACGAAAGGAAAGCGGGACAGTGTATAACCTTCTACCATTGGTTTATTCACGATTCAGTTATTACGTATTTCAAAATCTCTTTGGCTATTCATTCTCAATATCTTTATGTACTGCTTCCTAGCAAATATGATTTCCTTAAAAGGCTTAAAAGGCTTCCAACCGAAAGACTAGAGTTTAATTTTCCACCACAATGAATTTATTCGATATTGGAAAATTGTACTTTTGATTAAAATATAATGAATGAATATTTAAATGCAAAAATAAGGTTAGCCCCGTTAAATATTTGCATCTGAGTACTAGGTATGTACTTTGAGCCCTAAAAATCACTCAATTTATGAAAAATACAATTCGCATATATTTTGGACCACAAGCAATGTGAGACATTGGCTAGCACAAGCAATTATCAAAGTTTGCCTTGAAGGTATGGTAAGATTCTTCTTGCTTCTTCTGTCCGCAATGTTCAAGTCTTCTTATCCAAGCTACACAATACGGTATAATGTTGTTAGTTTTTTTTTTTCATTTTAGTTTTATTTTAGTCAACAGACTTTACAGACTATAAATGAACGTGTTATAACTTTCAGACAATAAAAGTATTATAATATTTTAACTCAGCACACTTCACTCCGTCTCCACAGATATGTTCATATCGAGGTTTTTCGTACGCCGGCGTCCTCTATTTTCAGTATACAGCTGGATACTTTACCCCATATGAAATGGTTGTCCTTGCCTCTACACTCCATAATTCTGGAACTTATTGAGTATATTTCGATCACATCTGTGGTGAGGTGATAGAGTATGGTAATAACTGAATACGCATTAATGTACAAAACACTCAGGTAAATATAAAATAGATCTAATGTTACCTTACTCATAAATTTTTAAATCATAAAAAAAGAAACATTGGCTCATTTCGGATTATCTTCTCTAACTATAGTTTTTTTTTTAAAGAGAACTCCCGCATTAGGAATATATCCTGTGTCGCGGGGGACTTTACAAACTTACATGAAACGGACACAAAGAACACCCAGACTCAGAACAACAATTTGTGGATCACACAAAGTGTCGTCCCATGTGGGGTTTGAATCCAGAACACTCGGCGCAGTAGGAAGCGGCGTATAGCTTAACTGAAAAAAACATTTTATCGTAAAAAAGCGTGGGGTGCTAGATGTCAAGCAGTGTAGTCAATATTTTATTGACAAATATTGGTAGAAGTAAAGTTATCCATACTGACATACTTATGTTATAAATGTGAAAGTGAGTTGGTTTTTTTGGTTTATTACGCTTTTACGCCTAAACTACTAAACTGATTTAAAAATTCTTTGACCAATGGAAAGCTATATTATCAGCGAGTAATGTAGGCTACTTTTTACCACGATAACCGACATACAAGCGGGCGTTATATACTATAATTATACTACTAAAGTATTTCGAAAAGCACCACACGATTTTTAACGAAAAAGTGATTTTTCTTTTTGAACTTATAGGAAATTGTTTTCCACTTTTTAGTTCGGATAGTAGTACAAAAACGTTTTTTTTTTAAACTATTATCAATTATAATTTTTCAGTCCTTAATGATGATAATTTTCTCATTTAACTATCTAATTAAAAATCAGACTATACAATAACACAACTAATAACTAAAAAAACACTATTATGTTTATAGTTCATAATTAGTTGGTACGCGCCAAAATCTAATCGAAAATGATACTCGTAGTTATTTTAAGAACCGCGACAGTATTTTCAAAATTGAAATCTGAGAGAATGGGGGAATAATGAAAGAGGCCCACCTCGGCCGGAAGCCATTCCTCCGTCGCACGTCGTTCCGGTGCGACGATATCCGGTGCAGCTCAATTTCCTGGACCGTGGAAATTCCACTGAGTTTTTATTTGCTCTCCTGATTCCTACGTTCGTAGCCTTTTTATCTCTGAATGTTATCGCGACCTTTATTTCAAAGCTATGATTTGGATATTTGGATACTCTTTTCTATAATGCGTTTATAAATGTTCCTGGCCGAGTACAAATATAAAAATGTATTTGACATCCTTTCGGTAAGATCTTTCAATGCCAAGCCGTGTTTGTGTTGATATTTTTATCATTGAATTATAATTTAGTATATTTTTGCGTAGTTTTAATCATAGTAGATATCAATAATGCCGTGGGGATGGGAGTGCAGAGAAAGGCTTGTAAGACAAAAAATATTAAACCCTACGGTGCGGAAAAATGCTATATCGCAAGAAGCATCAATGCCCGGCCCAGACCATTACGAGACACCGGAGTTATACTGTAAGGTTCTTAGTTTACAAAGTCATAATTTTCGTGATTTTATAAAGTTACATTACAACGTTTTCTTCTTGTCCTCTTTTTTACACACACATCACAACATTTAAGCTTTCAAACCACCGTAAAGGGTACTGTTAAGTATTCTTAAAATAATATCGAGCTGGAATATGTCTATGTGGAGCACAAAATAAGATCTTTTCGATTTGAGTATAAAATATCTTATTTAACATAAGTACTTCTTACATAAGTTTACAATTATTATGCCATTTTTAATTATGTTTTGCAGTCTTTCAAAAACCACATTTAGATATGTTTCAAGTGTGAAATCAGTCATCCTCTATTTATCTTCCTCCAAGGATAGATTTTGTTCGCAACTAATTAAGCTTAGTTTGAGAGAGAACAAATAATGAGCCGTGTTGAGGTTCTTAAAGAGGTACAAAAATATTGGTACAGTGTTGCCAACACGCAAATAGCAATTGATAGCTATTGTAAGCTTCTATAAGATTTCTATGCCCATTTAACAATTTTATAGCATTAGAAAGAAACTGTGTTTCAACCTTTTTCCAGATCCTCATTTATAATTGTTTCTCCAACGTATGTTAACTGATTCACTTATGATATGATATATACAAAGAAATAAATTAATTGTTAGTTTTAGAGACTAAAAGCGAATACAACTCTTTCGTTTCATTCCAAAATCATATTAGTATTATTTCTTCTTCAACTCCACAAAAAGATATTTTATTTTTTATTTTTTAGAATCTTCAACAAGAAATACACCTTACGTGCTAGTTTTACAGCAAATGAAATTTTAAGTCAGTGGCCACACAAAGTAATCTATGTCAGTCAATGATTATTTTTACGCCCTCTTTTTCAGGTGGTCCAGGGTATTCTCATATAAAAAGAATGCCAGCATATACATTTGGTTATAATACCAAACTGATTGTAAAACCGCCTTATAGGCCCAATGCAATAATGTTAGACGTACGTGGAATTGGTCCTAAAGGTTGTATTTCATATATCTATGTTTAGACTAAGGACAATTTGACTGTAAACTATTATATTACTATTACTTTTTTAACTTGACAAATATAATCCTAGCAGTTCTTTGTCACTAAATTCGTCTGGTTTACTAAAATTTTCATCATCGTGAGGGAAAATTAGAGTCTGGCTCCCTTATTAACAAAACCTTTATAAAAACTATTTTAGTAAATAAAATAGTGATAGTTTAAAAGTTATAATATATATCTAATATTTTAAAGTATCGGAATCCGATGTAAATGCACTTTTGTGAATCTTGAACAGCCTTTAACAGTCAACTGCTGGACATAGGCCTCTCCTTAAAACGGAGGTTTTAGCCTACTATACCACGCTGGCCAGACGGGTTGGTATAGGGTTTGTGTCAATTTGTCCTTCTCTTTGCATAGTTTGCTCCCTTAGTCGGCTCTTACTACACCCTCGGGATGAATTCGGGTGGTGACAATCCGTATTCTTAAACCGTCACCACACGGACTATTGCAAATACGGTAAAGTAATATTTTAGGACAGTTGACACACCCCTATCTAGACTTTAAAATAAATTTGAATCAATGACAGTTTACAAGACTACCACTGCGATCCAATTAGGTTTTATTACTTTTCCAAACCGTGGAATCCGTTATTATCACCAGATTTTTTATATTGTCACAGATCCTCATAATTGAATCATAAATCAGGTCCCTTCAGAATTCCGGGCAGTATAATATCTCCACAAATCGAACCTCCCTCTCCCAAGACTAAGGTTCCAGGGCCTGGGACCTACGTACCACGAGGTGATTCCAGATATAAACGAACGCCAGCCTACACAGCGATGCCAAAGGCTCGCCCACCATACCAACCTTGGGATCAATGGACTCCACCACCCAACTTATACCTACCACCCATTCCTGAAAAGTAAGTTATTATTATCCTGTTTTCTCTTATATATTAAAATCCTTATTCTCTAATGATAATCTTTATTTATGATTTTAAAATACATAAATAAAATGAGATGGGTCACTTTTTGTTTTTGTATAAATTAATTTATTTAGTTATCAATAGGTCATATTATTATGCTTTTTATTTTTTTAAACGTTTCCACTAGTTATTACATTACCAAAAACAAATATAACACACCCGAATAAACCAATGAGCTAAAAAATTTACAAACATCACTATCATTTTCGGGCTACTAAATAGGGGCCATTTTGGCGCGCTTATTCTGTAACGTCAGATGACAAGACTTCGATGTCAACAACGAACGATGTTTAGTTCACAAAGTTAATAAAAGTTAAAAAGTGAGTGATAAAATTAACTTATTACCATGGAAACGTAAAAGTAAAACTTATTTTCAATATTGTGACTTTGTGCACCTGACGAAGTATATTTCGCTATGCCGAAAGACGCAGGTATAAGGAAAAAGTGATGCAAGGAGATGTATCGTGTTTCAGCTGCTTATACTGTCGTGAAGATCATTTTTACTTAGGTACCTTTGCCTCGAGCACGAAAAATTTTCAAATGTGTATCGTAAACGTATCGAGTCCTTAACGGAGTTTTACGATAGGCGGCAGCACAAAGCACTAACGTTAAGGTATCGAGAGCTCGATACGATTACGTTAGTGACGTCATCCTAACGTAAATAAGGAGCACTGAGCACTTAAGAACGAATTCAACATCTTATTGGATGAACTATACGTTCTAAAACTTAATGAAATAGTGAAGTTAAAGTGTGTGTGTGTGTGAAGTGAAGGTAAACTACCAATTTATTGACAATTAAAACAAAATATAGCTGTATAAACACAGACAAAAATCTTAAATGAGGTATGAGGGATTTTAAAATGTAATATATTTGTAGAATTAAAATAATTATTGTGACACTTTTTTTCGGTTTCTGAATAACACGTCTCCACTTGACAATAAAATTTATTGACATAGCGTTGTAAATCACCAATCACCGTTATTTGTAAACCTTTGAAACTTTAAGAAGCATTTCATAGTTTATTTTTTATTAATTGTAATATTACGTCGTGTTGACTTTTGATTGTGACAAAAAATCCAAGCCTCCATTAACAGCTATGTCGTATACCACTAAACCGTTGAGTGTTATGTGAATAGAGACTTATAAAGATTTCTTTACAATTAAACCACAGTAAGTCGTGCCACGATAAATCTAACTGTTAAACAGTACAGACGAAGACGTGTTTCATCATCTTCTGCTCCAAAAATCCCAACATCAAAAGCGTCATAGTGAGAACAAATCGTTAACAATACATGGCTGTGGTGGAATTTCTGGAGAGGTGAGTGCATATTATATTTACTATTTGCAATACTCAGTGTACAAAAATATCGATGTGAGCTAGATAATGTTTGAAGAATATGATAAATTTCATGTTTATAATTCAATTTCTCATTGTCATGGGACTTCCAATGCTACGTGACATTAAAATAAATTTGTATACAGACAACATCTGTCACTTTATAAATGTTACTTGAACACCACTACAGCAATTCTACAGATAATCATACCAGGGACAACTAATGTCTCAACAGATGTCTGGAAATATTATTATCGTTATTACATAAGTAATAAATATTGTAATATTTTATTGTAGATTGGAATACTGCAGGCTCAAGCAGTCAACCGATTGGGGCTCCTCCCTTATAAGCACCCGAGGTCCATTCTCAATCTTCTCCAGTCACCACAGTCGCAGAGAAGTGGAAGCCTCCCGAAGAAAAAAACTCCAAAAAAAGCAATGATATTTTAAAAACATTAATAGAATCAGACTCAAATGCTAGGGAGTCTGCTAGGGGGCGATAGGATGGCGGTCTGGTCGCAAAAATGCGATCGGGCCGCAACGTATTTTAAGGATTAGGCCGATAGGCGAGGCAAAGCCCGCAGCTTCCCCGGGATAGGACTTTACAGGGCGTGTCGTCGATCTGGGAGGGACCTGAAATAACATAGTCCGGTACCTCCGCGGAGTAGGGCGCCTGAGTCCGGCCATCGGGGTGGTTTTTAGTGGAAACACCACATACTCCTAGCTCCTACATTCCCAAGGAGCCGGAGATCCGAAAGGATTTTCCACCCCGTCAACAAAAAAAAAGGAAAAAAGGGAGTCTGCTAGGGAGCACGATAGAGTGGGGTAGGTATATAAGGAGATAAAAAAGGACAGGTTGACATTAAAGAATGTTAGCACTGTAGGTACTTTAAAATATTTTATTATTTGTGATAAATTTTGTTACAATGTTACTGCTCACTATTTGAACATTGAATGAAAATAAATGCTTTGTACGGTAAAATAAATGTGTTGGGTGTAAAAATATGGAAATGACTTCCATCACTGCAACCTATCACTCCAGGAAAACTATACTTAGCAAAGAATCTGTAAAATAAAAAAGGCATTTCAATAAGATAACAGCTTACCTGGATTGTATAAAATTAAATAAAAATTATTAACGAGACAAATATTTTTTCAAAGTATATAATGTTCTCTGTGTAGAACATGTAAGTATGTATGTAATGTATAAAAAACTACTCATTATAATTCATTTTAAAATTATGGTGAATAAAAAATATTCATACTAACTCATTTTTTACTACAACCTTTTCAGCCCTAGTATTTGGAATTTTTAAAATTGCCCAATATTGCATTAGTGTTAAGAGCCATCAGTCACTACCTTGACAACTTAGGTGACTGTGGTTTGCCCTTAATATTTCCCATTCCCACCATGCGCTGATACAATCCAGTGGCGTAAAAAGATAGTGCACATAAAACAATTTTTGATACAAAACACAATACTTTCAGTTGAAAGATTTAAAGTTATCGTCATGTACCTTAAGCTCTAGATTAACCCTGAAACTTGACTATAACAATGTTTTTGACGGAGTTGCTCACAGAGAAAGACCTATCAATGCAATCCTATGTCTTTAAACAGGTTATAGAGGGATTTAGCTGGTATACCCCTCGCACCAACTTCCAACCATTATAGTAATTAAGATTATAAAAAATAACCTTTTTTAGTTATTTCGTTGGTTAAGTCAAATTACTTCTTAGCTTCAAGCGACATATATTTAAATTCGGTGTCATTTTAAAGGACTAACTGGTGCCCGCAACTTCGTTCGCGTGGAATTTGAAAAGCGCTGCCTTAGTGGGTTCGATTCCCGGACCAGGCAAAATTTTATAGCCTAAGTTACTCCTTATATAAACAGCTACCCTGGTAGTAAAATATTATTATAATCGGCTAGCCGGAACAAACAGACAGATAAAAAATATTTAAACTGGTGTATTTAAATAGGTATCGTGCAAATAACCGTGTGAGCATGAAAATAACCTATTATTTTGACATAACAAACAGACACTTCAATTTTTCACTACACTTCGCCTTATTTCACTAAAAAAAGTAATTAATTAGATAAATATATATAGGTACATACTAAGTATACTACATTTTATTAATATAGAAGTTCCTTTAAATGTTTCTGTCAAATTTTTAGTTTACACTTTATAGATAAAACAAGATTTGATTACCTCGAATCTTGCTACAAGAACATACAGAGCACTAAAGCGGCGGTCTTTACATTTGATCTCCACCAAAAATAAATAGTTAATATTTGAAAATAATAGTTTTAAAATTAATTTATTGTTTCGAAACTCTTCTCTCGGCCAAATCTTAGGTGAATAAACATTATATATAGACATATTAGGGATAAACAATATTAGGGATTTCCTGCCTAGGGTACACTTGCAGGAGCGTGCTATTTTTGGTCGGTTCGAGTCCGACATAACCACCGGTGGGTGGTAACCGAGGGGATTTCTGCACAGGAAAAAAATTAAAAAAGGTGAATAAACATTCGACTAAGCTCGACAGGTGCTCGATAGCCAGCCGTCCAACATACGTCAAAATTTCATTCGTGCTGCCAATTTTCTTTATAAAGTGTCACGTATATTGGATACGTGACACTTTATACGCTACTTGACGTACTGCTTGACGATACGGTCACGATACGAAAGTAAATTCGAAACGTTCGTGCTGCCAAAATTAGTTACTTTTACGCACGATAGGGGCGCTGCACAAATGTCATACAAATTTTGTCGAAGACGATACGAATACTTTTTCGCAAGTTGTTCGTGCTCGGGGCACTGCACACTTCGACGAAGTTTCCGCGAAGTTTGTGAAGATACATTTATTTATTTATTTATTTTATTCTTTCACAATTCATACTTACCTTTCTAATTTATTTCTAGGTTACAGGTTAAGAGAGGTTAAGAATACAGAAAATTATATGTATTAAACAATTTGTGATCATCATAAACACGTCTATTTTAGAAAGATCATCTGGTTGTGCTTTGACAAAACCGGTTTCAGTCATTTTGTTAAGTCTTTCTTCACAAGGATTTAATAATTTAACACAGAAAACTAATAACTTCATTAGAAACAACCACTAAATAATACTAAATAAAATCACCAGAAACCATATTACAAACAACTTACTGACAGATGACGTCGGATAAAAATTGATTGTACGTTTTGTTCAACCAATCGCGTTGCGTTTCAGAACTTTGCAACTTTTGTGAGGGAATTAATACACTTTTTGATGATTACATTTCACTATCAAATTATGATAATTGAATAGGGATATTTTTCAGCAACAAAGTTTACAAAAAAAATATTTTGTCCATTTTGGAATCGCGCATATTCCCTATTGTTCCCCGATGGGACATCCCTTCCGTTTTCCTCATATCCATAAGGTCGAATACCAAGTTCTTATCCTGTTATGTTATTTCCGCAATAACGCTTACAGACATCCTTAAACCTTCTGTATAAGTCGCAGTTAGGAAGAACAAAGAAATTCGCCTTTTTATTCCAGTTTTTGTGACGGGGTGGTGTAGTTATACCTACTGTGCTAACATTCTTTAATCTCAACCTGTCCATTTCTATCTCCTTATATACCCTATCATGCTCCCTAGCAGACTCCCTTTTTTTGTTGACGGGGTGGAAAATCCCTACGGATCTCCCACTCCTGGGGGACGCAGGAGCCAGGGGTATGTGGTGTACTAAAAACCACCCCGACGACCGGCCTCAGGCGCTGGGGAAGATCCGGAACATGTAATTTCAGGACGCTGCACCTACAAGGCCCTATCCCGACGGAAACCAGAAGCTTTCCCCCCTATCCTTCCCTACCTGTCACTTAATCTAGGTGCACGATCGCATTGTGCAATCAGGCCGCCCCCATGTCCCTTATCGCAGTAATCAATCCGCCACTAGAGGTCCCCACTCTCTGACAGCCTGTGGCCTCGTCTCCGGCTCATATTACCGTGACTTCCTGTACTCTCGGCATCGGCCCTCTCCCGATCCCGTTCAGCGGTCTCTTTCTGGAGCATTATAGCCTCACAGAAAAGAAATTTGCCCTAGCGAAACTCGCACAGAATAAAAGTATGTTTTTTTTAATGTGGTTTAAGCTCTGAATTGTTTGCAGATAATCATAAACCAAAACATAATATTATGTATGTGATAGGAATACCTTATCCATTAAATTTCTCAAAAGATTTTAATAGTAACAATCCTTTTGTTCAGGAAAGCACCGAAGTATTCATTCAGCAATAATTATCGACCTATACCCGTGCCAGATATACCGGGCCCAGGTTCACATGAACCGAATTATAAATACGTTAAACCCACGAAGCCGTCGTTTTCATTCGGAGCTCCCCGAAAACCTCTACAGCCGCCACTGGTGCCACCACCTAACACGTATTGTGAGAAAAAGGTTCGTTGTTATGCCCTCATACTTTATATTAAATTATAATTATGGCCCAATTTGCATAGTATTTATTTATTTGGTCAGCCAACGATTATTACACTAAGCGTTACAGAATTAACTTAAAGGCTAAACATGTGTGAGTGCAATAATCACTTACAGGCTAACACAACATGCACTTAAAACAACGGTTTTACAAGCTTAAAATAAACTAGGAGATTGGAAAACTATTAATTTTAAATAACAACAAAGTAACTAATAATTAATTATCAATTTTATGAAATTATTCTTTTTTTTTATTTAATAAAAGAAAATACTAAAATAATGGTATTATTTCGGCTCGACTCGACTCCTTGGTGTTGTTTAGGTTTAATAAAACAAAACCTTCGATAGGCCTTTACGTAGGCTAAATCTTAGCCTTTTTAGTAATTTTTTAAAAGTCGTAACTTCTTCATAATATTGTATGGTATTTTCTCTTTCTGCTCTATTGATGACATTCAGCACTTTGTTCTGTAAATTATGGGCGCATTCCTAAGGTATACTTACTCTTATGTAATAAATTTTAACAGCAATAATCTTATCTTAGGTTGATGGTAGCAGGAAATTGTCGAGCAACAAAGTAGTGAGGTTCTGTCATTACGAGTACTACACCCAATTACTTGTATCTGATGGACTAAGTTAATACTTTTGTAATTTAATTACCTTGTGCTGTAATTTTGATACTTTAATTTAACGCCAATGTTGGATGTCGTTCGGAGTTTCTTAGAACCTGTCTATTGATTACTGGCCCTTTTATCTTTGAGAGAAAGAAAAGAATAACGATAGGCCTGTAATTAGACAGTCTTGATATATATTTATTTCATCCTTTTTATACAATGAGGGCAAATCTTCGACACTGATGGACTTGTCTCCTGAATCGTAAAAGCAACTACAAATTTTCAAAATAGATTGTTCCAAAAAAATAATAGAATCCTTGACCAAACATACATTTGCACTTAATTGTAATTGTTACAGTTAATCACAAAATGTGAAATGAGTATAAAGAATATGGTTTCATAATTTTCTTATAGTATTTAGAATGATTGAATATATTATAAACAGAAACACAATAATTGACTGCATGATAATTTATCGCTTTCACACATATTTATGTGTTATATTGTCCATTGTATACGTTACTTGTGTTAATTGGCATGTAGTGTAATAATTTTTTGCTACTTTTTTCACAGTTCAACGCCGTTAAGCCGTCGATTAGAGCTTCAAGTTTCGGCATTCGTCACACTCCCTACTTGGGCAAACAGGATGTCTACTTGAAATCATCCAAACAAGATCTCCAAATTAGTTGAGATTACATCTTAGATAAAATGTGTTGTACAAAACTTTTAATAGAATACATTTATTTTTATTTAAAAACGTCTTTATAAAAACAATGCTGCAATGCTAATTTTGAAACTAACTCATAAAGTAGTGAAATAAAGACGGTGCTGTTATAAATTGAGATTTAATACTTACGAACGCAAGCAACTTAAGTATTAAAACACCATCAAAGTTAATTTAGCAAAGTTTGGTTGAAAGTCGGCCACACTGCTGATTTGTATGCAATATTTACCGGACGTCGCCATCGTCACAACGCCGCTTCTCAACTCCTCGAAACTTTACCAGTTTTTATCGCAAGTTTCATTTATTGTTAAACCTCCACCGTTCATTTAAAGCCACTAACGTCGTGTTTGGCATAAGAAATGCAAACAAAAGGCTTTTGTGCTGGTTCTAAATATTATTGGAAACTGGTAGCTATAATTAGTTAAAAATCATTTTGTGAAAAGTGCTAAAAAATCGACTAAAACATTAAAACTTACATGGCGTTCTATAAATAACCAATAGGCATAACAGTAAAATAACTTATGTCATTTTAACAAATTACGGGGAAACCAATTAGAAAGTTCAATATTAAGTTATCGAACAATGGAAATGTACACGAGTAAAGAAAGTCAGTCTACAGTGACTGTGTGTATTTCCTATTATAATGAAGTTACTGTATTCAGTCGTATGGCTGCCGAGTTTCACTCCCAAGCAGAAGACAGAGAACAAACAGTACAAGTCAAATACACTATCAACACCAAATGTCGGGTCATATTGCATATTCATAGTGTGATAATAGTCATAAAAAATAATTTAATTTAATTTGTTTAGATCAACTTATGAAACTTATTTTGTAACAATACTATTAATCCTATTGGACATACATATTTCATTATTAGGAAGTCTACATGCCTTAAATGAACTCTGTTATTATTTATATTATTAATTTTCTTTTATTTATAACAGTTAATAATAACTTTGCACATTATACACGGCAGTCTGGTCCCAAACTAGGCAGCAGGCTCTGCCTAGTTTGGGACCAACTGCGGTAACCAGACTGCTGATAAACATACTCGTAGTTATACATTTATAAATACGTACATATTATTATTAAATAACACACAGGTACAGAATAAATGGTCGTGCTATTACAGAAAAGTTTAAACAATAAAACCTAACGTTTTATATACTGTAGGATAAATTATTATCCTCGCGGAGTTATTTGAATGTTAATTGTGCGGTGAAAGATATTAAATATTAGGAGTTACCCAGTATTAATAGAGTTCTTCATTTTCATAGGATTTTAAAGATTTAGCTGATGTCCAGGATCAAATGAATATATTCGTTATATGAACGAACTATGCATGGTCGCTAATAGGATTGAAAGATTTAGGCTTTTTAACTAAAAAGCAAAGAGTATATAAAAATATTTATAAAAATAAAACGAATAAAATAACTTTAGATTTTGTACTTAAATACGAAAGCTAAAGTTCTTTTACTTACAATTTTTTTTTTTTTTACTTAAATTATTTACATACAATAGCAGAATTAATACATTAACCTTTTTAGGTTTATCTAAATTCTGCTGTTGTAGCCAAAGCTAGTGTTTTCTTTCTACACAGCGTAAGATCGCCTTATACAGACATATAGACAGACAGATAGGACAGATACAATGATGTGGTGGAAATTATTTTCCCTCAAATTTTATACAACCATATTACGTTATTCTAAATAGTTTACTTCAGTAACTATATTACCTTTTGCTAGGTGAACATGAAACATTATTTGGTAATTCAAATTTATCTCAATACTTGCAAAGTAACAAGAATTACAATGCAGTTATGGTTAACGAGCCTGTTGGTCTAGTGGTTAGTAACCCTGGCTGCTGATCCAGAGGTCGTGGGTTCAATTTACACAGACAAAAAAAATATGTGATAAGCATGACTATTGATTTTTGTTTAGGTGTAATTTATCTTAACAAATAAATAATCTATCATTATCATCATCAGCCTATCGCAGTCCACTGCTGTACATAGGCCTCTCCTATCTCTCTCTATCTCTCTCTCTCTATACATCTATAAAAATAAATAAAATTGAAGTGTCTGTTTGTAATGTCAAAATAGTAGGTTTTTCATGCTCACATGGTTATTTGCACGATGCCTAAGTCTAACAACCAGTTTAAATATTTTTGTCTGTCTGTTTGTTCGGGTAATCTTCTAAACGGCTTCACTGATTTTAATATGACTGCACGGATGGCGTAGTGGTTTAAGCGGTCGCCACGCCGCTTCCTATTGCGCCGAGTTTTGTGGGTTCAAACCCCACATGGAATAACACTTTGTGTGATCCACAAATTGTTGTTCCGAGTCTGGGTGTACTTTGTGTCCGTTTCATGTATGTTTGTAAAGTCCCCCGCGACACAGGATATATTTCTAGTGCGGGAGTTGTCTTTTAAAAAGAAAAAAGAAGAAAAAAAAAATTATTTATAAAATACTAATAAACTAATAATAATTTATAATACTCAGTAGCTGCCTATATAGAGAGTGACTTAGGCTATTTTCCCTCTCAGAATTACACTCAAAAATTTAGCCCGGTCCGCAAATCGAAACCGAGGCCATATGGACTGATGTAGAAATATGATGCGGTAGGTGCAATAATCAAATTTGACATAGTTCATGATTTAACTTTAAGATAAAAAATAACATTGGATAGAACATAAATATATTCCCACATATCATATATATATATATATATACAAGTCTAGAAGTATACACAATACATACACAAAAAAATGTATTAAACTATGAATAGAAAGTGTCTATGCCATGAAAGCAGAACTAAGTTCATGTACTACGAAAAATTATATTATTTTAGATAATATTATGTTACATGTTACTGTTACAATTTCGATGTTGGCACATTCTGAAATGCCTTGAAGCAAATCGTGCTCTATCAGTACCAATGTCGGCTGAACAACATTGTGATGTATATTTTACATATTCTTGTTAAAGGAAGATAATATAATTAGATAATATTAGAAAGTTTTAGCGATTTTTCTTCAAACAGGAGTTTAGAGATTATCTCTTTAATGAATTAGAAGAATTTTATATAAGAATAAAATAATATAATATAACATCATGCATTACAGCACCGCCAAAGTAAGCCTTTTTCTTCTGTACTGAAATTCCCTCGGATACCAGCGAGGTGGTTATGTAGGATGCGAACCGACTAAAGAAATGATGTGGTGGGCATCACTTTACCTATTTTTTTTTAAATTTTAATACCTTCTCGGATACCAGTTGCCGGGGAACCAGGTGTACCCTAGATAGGAAATCCCTGGTGACTCGAGGGAACCGTCATAAGCGTTCATAAGACGACCGGATGGCGTAGTGGTTTGTGTAACGGACTGCAATTGTGTGCATGAACATTTAATGTTTGATTTGGTCTGGGTGTATTTATGTACAATATGTATGTATTTACAAGAAAAAAATATATATGTATTTAAATCAGTTGTCTAGTACCTAAAGTACAAACTCTGCTTAGTTTGGGACTGGATGGCGTTGTGTGAATGTGCAAACAAATAATTAAAAGAAAATAAACCTTATTGTAAAAAAGTAAATATGTATGTAGTACTTGCTGTCTTCTTTTCCGTTTTTACGAAATTTTGTTTGTAGGATTAATTAAGTGCTTGAAATATGAACTGCAGGCTCACATCAACTAAATGGGAAATTATCAGCAACAAGAACTAAACAACTACTCATTAACGACTACCAATTTCTAAAATTATTGCTATTGACTTGTTACATAACCAGTAAGTTCTTTTAGCTCGATATCGTCTGTGGGTTTGATCGGATTTCGACCATAATTCATAAAAAACTGAACTTCATCTGTCATCGTATATACTTACCGTAGATAATGACACAGCACAGATTGTCGTGAGGTGTTCTGGGGGCCATTCGAAAATCGACCGAAAATCGGGGGAAATCGACCAGTCGCAGTGCTGTCTGCGTTTACTAAAATATTTGCATCAGCATTACACGCAGGTATTTATGCTCAAATCAGTTGTCAATTAACAGATGTGCAACACGGATTCCGGCCGGGGCGAAGTACAGGGAGCAAATTGCTATCTTTTACAACATATCCTACACCAGGGCCTTAATTCTGCTATTTTATGTTCACGCCAAGCCACTGTCGTACCACTGACACGCTATTGAGATGCCATCGAGTGGCCATTGGCATCGGTATAAATATCGGTAGTCTACACTAACTCAGTGTCTTTACAGTGGCAATGGAATGGCAGTGGCTCATCAGTGGTGATATCAAAAAGATTGCCAATCTTGAAAAAATAAATAAATAATTTCCTTATAATTTGAAAATGTATTACGTTTTTGTAATTTTGGCCCAAAAAGTTGTTATGGATTTATCATATTTATTGATGCAAATGTATAAACTACAACGACATAATACACCGTAATTAATAGAATTATCGTTGCTGTTTTTGTTGTTGTTGCCTGTCGAAATTCACAGAAGTAGCACAAAGCGTTATTTCTGGCATATAAATAATTTACATTTATTATTTCTATTAATATTAATTTCTTAAAATCATTTATATAGTTATGTACTTTAGATTCTTAGGCATTTAGATGATTAGTTATAAACTTGCAATATTGCCTTGGTAGTAAATTCCTGTAATAATTGTGAATGTATCTAAATAAATAAATAAAAAATAAAAAACTTATAACAGTCCTCTGCTGGATATAGACATCTCGTCAGAAAGGAGGTTTTCACCTACTACTACATATATACATATATTGTACTTAAAGCTTTTAGCTTTTTTAAGAAGATAAATCAAACTCGTCTATAGCTTCTAAACATGAAAAATAAGGTACGAACATAAGGAAATGTTTATTAACTCTATTTTATACCTTATCTACACTTATAATAATAATAATAATACTTAATTTAAAGTAAAGATTTACAAAATTTGTTT